TGGCGGCAGTGCGGAAGAGCCGGGAGTATCCCCATTGAAGCTATCTTCCCTGACAGCGCTTGCGATATTACCCTACCATTCAGGATCTACGATCTGTTGCCTGTGTCCTTCAATGAACGGGAGAGAAAGTAGAGACTGGGGATGAAGTTGAATGGATGGAGGATAGAGAGTTGATGGAACACTGAGCTTACAGAGTGGTCAGAGAGCGATTAAAATGGTATGGAGCTCCAGTACAGAGCAGCATGTATGCTGTGAACAGAGTGATACAGACATATAAGGGTAAACCTGTACACACGGGGTGAAAGTGGAGATTAGTGTGGCTATGCAAGAAGCACTGGGTCACAAGTAGACAACAGGCTTGGTCCTAAAGAACACAGGAAGACAGACAAGAAGACAGTCTTGGTCCTGACAAAATTTGTGTCCTTATTTTCTTGATATGTTTTTCAAATAATCTTGAGGTTGATAATGTTTTGCATCTGCATGCATTTTAACATGCATTTTTTTCCTGTCGCACTTATGCTGAGCTGGCTTTTGTTAGTATTTCATGTGCACTGTATGGTGGTATTTTATTTTGCATGCACATTATATATTTTGATAAAAAAATTATTCGCTATAGAAAATATCAGATGTGCAAAGAAGTTCAATCCATGGTCACATTTACCAATATTTTAGTTTTGGGATAACTTCTGCAATGGGTATGGCTAGAAAACAGTAGACCTCTATAACCCCTGTAAAGTAAAGTCTAGTCAATACTTTTTACTGGAAGCAACCAACTGCTCCACCTTTAAAGTCTTGGTTTCAGAGAACTGACCAAACATGTTTGCTAGAGGACTTAACCCATAGGCGCAAAAACACCAAAAGCCACTATAGTAGAAACTAGGCCTGTTGGATCACCTATAAGACTACAATGTTTTACCTGGACAAAATGTTGCATACTAGGGATGCACATATACTTTCAAGTACCAGTGCCGATACTTGGCATTTTCATGAGAACTACCAGGGTTGCAGCGGTTGCAATGGTAGTTTCAGCTCTAGCCCTCCACCACTGTCCTGAAATCATTAGTCTGTATTGTTTTAGAAAACTGTCACATGACAATAAACAAAAATGTATCAATACTCATACTTGTAAGTACTCGGCAAGTACCAGTACTCGTACTCGCAAAACTGGTATCTGTGCATCCCTTTATTTATATTTATAAAAACAAAATCGTACAATAAAACAGAGATGTACAAATCCCAGGAACTCTGTGTGCGCCTTACAAATGACAGCTGCCTTCTAACTTTGGAATTTTTCTCTAGTGTAGTCTTGGAGCTCAAAAGTATCGGTACATGTACTCGTACTTGTACCGAGTACTGTACTTGGTATCTGAGCAACCCTATTGCATACCTAAGTCACTGAATGCTTCTCTCACATTATCTGGGTGGAGGTTTGGGTCCTCCACCCTTTATTTTATCTCTTCTCCAATCATCTTCCTTTCCATTTCTCTCTTTCCTTCATGGATTTGTAAAATTGTAAATTTGCTTACTTTGGCATGAGGAATCATCTTTATATCATTTTACGTGAGACTGTGAATTTTCTCTGAGAAAATATAGAGTTTTGACTGTGTTCTTATTGCTGTCTAAGGTCAGGTAACTATGTTAATATGACTGCCTTCTTTTCTAAAAAGCTCAATAGGTACTTATTAAACAAAAAACAAAAACTTTTTTTACCTATTGTGTTACCAGGATAAAACCTGGCTAAAATGTTATCTCTATTCTGCCCCCGCCCCTCCAAAAAAAAAAAAGAAATCCACTTTGAAAGCAGCAAGGTTGTAATATGGAATAAGTGGTACAGCCAATTTTTTTCAATCTTGATTTGTATTAGTAATTAAGCAAACATCGTGGAGAAAGCCAACCACAGACACTATTCAAATGGATCACTTAGCAGGAAAATGGTTTTAATTAAATTACAATGTATCTCTAATTTGTTCTACCGATAACCATCGCAACACTCTCGTCCACTCTTGGAAAATCAGTGCCAAAGAAGGGGATGTTGCTATAATTTCCTACTGTTCAGTGTATCAAATTATTCCAGACATTCCAGGGAATATCTTGAAAGCTTCTGCAGAAGAGCATTTCTGTTACAATACTTAGACTATAACTATCTATTTACAGTTTAGTAAACTCTGTGATATATTACTTTTCCAAACAAGGAATTAGCCGTTCACATAAAAAAAAGTAGAGAAAACAGACACAGATGATAAATAAAGAGAGAAATATAATACTACTGGGAACATATGATAAAACTATACCTCCAATTTTGCTTCCTTTGGAACATCGTTAACAAATAAAAAAAGATTATGGTGTACTTTTTGAATCTGACTTATCTGATGTAGTCAGCATACAGTGGGCTACATGATTTGAGCATAGGCTCAAAATTTTCATTGTGGTGCATTTACTCTACAAAAGAGCATACTAGGAACATACAAACAATCACAATATACAGATCCATTTGCAAACAAAACAAAGACAGAAAGCAAAATTTTTTAAAAAATCACAGTGTTTCATCTTACTTGCTCATTATTTCTGGACCATTGATAACTGAAACATAAGCTCCAACTTCATTAGCAATTGCTCTAGCTATTAATGTCTTTCCTGTTCCTGGAGGCCCAAAAAGTAGAACCCCACGTGGAGGAGAAATTCCTGTGAATTAAACAAAGAGAAGCTTTATGCAGAATGCTTCATTTACCTCTTCACAGTAACAAACTTATATGAACTATAATTTATGCAAATAAATGAATAACCAACAAAACAAGCTTTAAACATTTATGATATATAATATATAGGCTGACCTGACACAGTAACAGACATAATTTAAAACAGTATGCAATAACTGTTGCATAAATTGGTGAAGAGCGCAAAGAAATAAGATGACAAGACTGCCCTCATCTTTATTGTACCTTTGAGATTATAACATTTCTAGGGGGCGTTGAGAAGCATGGCATGTGAGAAAAGGCATGTCACAGAGCTACTGGTAGATCTTCTAGTGATCCTTTACCTGGCTCTGCTATACCTCCTATTTTACCTGACTCTAAATCTGCTATCTATATAATATTCAGACAAGCAATAAAAAAATGGGCAGCATCATGGTATTATAGCTAAACTTACCATAAGTCTTAAAAAGTTCGGCCTGTTTCAGTGGCAATTCTATTGTTTCCCGGATCTCTTTCAATTGGGTGTCTAAGCCACCAATAATATCATAAGTCACCTTATTTTTAATATCATCTTCCAAATGGGAAGTCAACTTTGGACTTTTGCATCTGATTTTAGTTTGTGGAGATAAGTAGTATAAAACATCTGTGTTGCATTTAATTCCAGGTTTTCTGCATGATGTTTTTTGACTGTTGTCTCCAATACCAGAGATTACTGGACTTTGAGAGGCCTCTGGATGCAGCTCTTCATTTATAGAAGGAGATGATGCTTGATTATCACTAAGCTTACATGGAGTACTGGTGACAGCTTCACCCTGACAGTCTCCAATGTCAAGTAAGCTGAGCTGTAAAGACAAGTCCAAACTACTGCTGTCCACAGTGGTCTTTTCCAGAGTTGTTTCATGTGTGCTGCTGGAAAAAGGTTCCTGCACCACCCCATTAGGTCCTGTAATGCTTGTCACTTGCAATGAACAAGGTCGACCAAAGAAACTGAAGTTTATAAGATTTCCAGGTAAAACAATCTTCCTATCTGGAATGCAATTTAGAAACAAGAAATATTAATGTTGAAAACAGGAAATAACCGAGCAGACCAAGAAAACACATTAAATAGGGTAAAGCAAAGTAACATCCGTGTGCAAAGTGCAGTGACCTACCTCAACCAATCAGAATTATTCTTGTTTCCTGTTAGCATCTCACTGAATTAACCTGAAATCATCTGATCATCTGCAGCAAATCATTGTACTTTACACATTTTCATTATACACGCTCATTCGTTATACATGCTCGATTATCTTTAATTAGTAAAAAATGCAGTGATGATATAAAATATAAGGACTTTAAAAATGTGTAGTAAGTAAATTCCTTCTTCAGAGGGAATTTAACATAATTTATTTTGTTCTACTCAAAACATGGATTATTCTTCATTAGCAGTTCTTAAAGGAGAACTATGGGGTGAGTGAATTACGCTCATCCCCATAGTTAGAGCCGTTGTGTGACACTGAAACTGTCACAGGTCGGCTCTATTGAGTGAGGGAAGACATACCGCCGCTCTGCACACTTCCCGATCCTCTCCCTGCAGAGAGCAGTGACTGTCAGTCACCACCCCTCGCAAGGATTCCCCTCCTCCCTTCACCAATCCTCCAGTGCAGACTGGAGGGACGGACGGGTGTGGGGGCCGGCATAGCTGGCTATGCCTCTAGAGGTGGGTGGATTGCGACAGTATTGTTGGGATCTGTCCCGGCTGCAGCGATCCCAGCATATAGCGGGCAAAGGCCCGCTATATGCTGAGTTTTGGGTCACAGGGAGACGCAGTATATCACCAAAAAGAGAACTATTGAAAAAAAATGTTACCCCATAGTTCTCCTTTAACTTATCCATATGTGCTGGAAGTGGCATCACAAGGACAATTACCCATGTTACGTATTGCTCACTTGTCAACATATTCTGACTTTCTGGTTTCCCTTTATTCTCTGATTCTACAGAAACTAAACACTTGATGAAACTGCATATAGGTGGACATACTGGATATGAACTCCAGCGTAGTATTATAAAAGATTGTTTTAAAAACTTTAATTTGTTGAATTAGTAGAAAATAAAGTTAATAGAAAGAACAACAACAACAAAAACAAACAAAAAATGAACTGTCCTTGCTCATTCCCACATTGGCTTCCTCTATCTTGTACAGCTAAGCATGGGAGCAATTTAGGACCACATACAACAAAAGAGATAGGAACTGAAATCCTTAGTTAATGCAAAGGTATTTTGATGGGCATATATTACACTAGGCGTAAAATACTAAAGAAAAAGTACTTAAAGGTTTTCTCTAATGGCTCATGTACACGTGTCCATGGCCTATTTAAATGGAGAAAAGAGCGAGTAACTATGTACACAAGAAGAGCTACTGATGATGTGTTTATATGTAAATCAACATTCAATGATGCATCATAGATGGCAGATAATAAGACACCCTACCTCAAGCAGCATTCATAGGGAAACATTGTGTACATTGCTAGCATCTTCTACAAGGGAAGCATTAAACTCTGTGCACAATGTTGCTTGAGCTCAATTCACCAAACATTACACACAGCTTAAGTCAAATTGGACATAATCATGGCCCATACAGCTAGAGTACACAAGTCCTAACTAACCAGCTAAGTGTGACACAACTTGGGCTCAATTGGAAAATGAAATGAAAAAAGAAAATAGATGTAACACATCATTTACCCCATGCAAAAGGGAAGATGCTTTAATTCAAAAAGAACCAACACCATTAATAAGGTTCTGCTTTTGTGTATCATAGCTGATGCTGATTTTAGTACACCTACAGGCTATACAATTTTGGACAATGATTTCCATCACAAAAAATCTGATCAATATTTAATACAAAAGTCTGTCTTACAATGTAATTTTAAGATGAGTGAAAGTCTCCCACTCTACAAAAACAAGCCTCTATTTCTAGTACCCATAATACTGTATGAAAAAAATAAATAAATACCAATGTATATACTATACACTGGAGTCCAGGAAGCCATCCAGAAAGAATCCAAATGTCTTACCCATGAATCTTAGCAGAAACGAAGACAGTTCTTCCACATTGACAGAATCAGCATCCCTTTCCCTGTGATGATGAATGGAAACAAACCGACATGGTGAATAAAAGGTCCTTCACATATAAGTGCTGGCACAGTGTCTCACAGATGTTACTGTTTAAGCTTTATCAATCTTTGTGGTAAAAAGCTTAACTCAATTTGATATGCTATATGTACTTGTCCAGAAGGGAAACAAATTTTAAGCAGCCCTCCTAGAGGGAAACCTGCTTTTTATACAGGAAAAATAATACCATATAAAGGAATTCATTCAGACAAGACCCACATGCCACTTTACATCTGGAACATACTGCGCCAAAGGGTGCATATTAGCAGGTAATGTTCTACAAGAAGATAGATATTTCAACATTGACAATTCTTAACATTTTTGGTAGATATTTAAATTGCTGATATAAAAAGCAGATTTTGATGTTGTGTGTTTTGGTTTATTTCTATAATGCTTGCTCTGCATAATAAAAATTGTTGAAAGCATACAGACATTAAAGGGAACCTGACCTGGCCTACATTGTTTGTAGTAATATAGTAGTACTGAAGAGAAGGAACCTCAGGGCAAGTACCTGTGTTAGTCTTCCAATATGTCCCTTTGCAGCCCTTTGGATCATGGACTGCTTTAGATGAGGCCTTGAAATCAGTCTGATCTAGACATGTGCGATTCATTTAGTTCTGAATCAAAATTTGGATGAATTTTCGAATCCGAATGTGTGCAAATCGGAATTTCCATTTCCGAATATCAGATCCTGTCCGAATTTCATTCAAAAACTAAACTGAATCTGTCATGTAGAAACGATGAACGATTATGTCACAATGATCAACAAATACAAGGCTTTGTTGATCATTGTGACATAATCGTCCATTAAAAAGGACAAATCTATTTAAATTATTTTGAGTGCTGGTGACCTGTCTTTCTACTTCGTACTTTGCACGGCGCCATCCTTGGCAGTTACTACAGGCACCATCGTTCTTACTGGCCGTGACTGCTGTAAGGTGTGCGGAGAGCACCCCCACCTAACTGAAACTTGAATCTGTCATGTGACTTTTCTGGCCAATCAGATGTGTTTTTCGGTTTAATGTATCCGAATGGGTCTGAACACGAATTTTCGTGTTCAGTATATACATATGTAGAAATGTCACCAGCACACCAGTCCTTTTAGGGTAGCAAAAGCTTGATTTATTGAAGTCTTTTGTCATATGACCCTAGTTGGTCAATTTTTTTTGGCAGTTTACATGTCTAGTCTGAACTCATTAAATCTACACATGCAATTTTAAAAGTTGTCTTTAACCCTTTTAAAGATGCGCTTCCTACGCAGTCCTGCAATGTAGGTTTTTGTTTAGGCACTTCCTAAGTGTCAACCTGTCACATGCCCCCTGATGGAGACAACAGGTAGCTGTGTTGACACACACTGACCGGCATGGTCCATGTTTGACACTATCATGAAGGCAGTCCAGGCCAATCTGCAACTGACATTGGAGCAACTGCATGGAGACAAGATGTGGCTCGCCACAGAGATGCAAAAAATTATAAAAAAATTCTCAAAAAGTATTTGATAAAAAAAAGATAGACAATTGTGCTTTAGCAAACTAAATGTCTTCCAGTTAGTGGTTAGATCTACTTCAAGCATCACTCCTTCCTGCCCCTGAAATGTAACTGTCCAGTGCTAGAGCCTTTACTGTCCTTTATGGGTGTGGGAATAGGCTCAGCCAAGGGCAATGCTCTTGAATAAATTGGGGCCTCAAATAACTTCTGTTACTTTATAAATGTTTCAGGACAAGTCAGGTTCACTTTAATTAATGCACACTCAAATTCTGTTGTGTGTTAATAACACAAGAAAACAAAGTGAGACATGAAAACAATGGTGTAAGAGATTTATTCATACTGTATTTCCTAATTCGAAAAATGTAACACAGACTGGCATATTTTAATCACTTCAAGCCTCCAATACGTACATAAATGGGAAGGTCCTGAAGTGATTATACCAGGATCGCAGCTGCGGCTGCAGCTGAAGTACCTCCTTCTGGGCTGTTGTTCAGTGATGACAGTTCCAGGCACAGGGGTATGGAAATGTAGAAAAAAAAACTACTTGTCGAAGGACTAAAGCGGAGGCCCGATCTACATGTCCCTCATGACTTGTCCTCATACAAAAAAATAATTTTAACCAAAACTGTATTTAGTGCTAAGAAGCGCTTCTCATTGGTCAGCGCTGTTAGGTGACCCCCACTGACCAATGAGTGCTTAAAATTTGCAAGCGCAATTCAGAATACAGGGCACAGGTACAGATAGAACACCCATACTGGGGGCGGGAAGGATAGCGGAGGGGAGAGGGGGCCAGATTTGGGTGGGTAATTCCATTTTCCCAAATTACTTGGGAAAGTGAATTTATCCTTTAGGGCTGGTGCAGACTTGGGCGATGGTTTGCGGCTGCATACAGCGGTTGCCGCGTATGCCGATTGATTTTAATGGGGTTACAGCCGCGTGGCAATTGCTGAAAAAGGGTACATGTACCTTTTTTCACGACATGCACCATGCAGTGTTTTCAACCGCGATCAAGCGCAATTGTACGGGCAGTATTGCGGCGGGAAACCACACAATCTGCCTGGCGTGACTGGGGTGCCATTAGAAAATAATGGGTGTGCGATTCCGTGATCGCGCGGCCATCCGCGCAGTTTCGTGCACAATTACTGCAATTGTGCACGGTCACGGATCACCCAGGTGTGAACCTGGCCTTAATGCACATTGTGCGTGTTAGAGAGCGTTGCTGCCCGGCCACCACAATGATGTGTTTATTTGCATGCAAATAGTGGGTGCAGCGGGGCTGGATTTAATGTTTTTAATTTTTATTTACTTTATTTTTTTTACTTTGTAAATTGTTTTTAATTTTCATATATTTGATAACTTTTTACTTTATCACCTTTTTATTATTTATATTTTTATTTATTTCCATTTTTATTTTTTAAAAATAACTTTTTTACATTTGTATTTATTTACATTTTTAATTTGTATTTATTTTATTCATGGTTTACTTTATTTTTTATTCACTCAACTTTATTGCTATCACACAGGGATTAACAAGCCACTGTGTGATAGCATTTGAAGGTGACAGGTTGTCTTTATTGAAACTGTCACCTCCAATACAGCAATCCTAGCACAGCACTTTGCTGGAACTCTTGTGACAGGAAGGCTGCGAGTGCAGCGTTCCCACTGTCAGTGCTCACACAGAGCAGAGCGGAGAACAAATGTGCTCCCCGCCTTCCAACCTAATTTAATTTGCCGTGGTCCTGGGTCCCCCAGAAGAGCAGGGGACCCCGAAGACCATGGTGTGGAGGGAGCCAGCAGGCGGGCAGAGGCAGCGGGGGGCGGTGACAGTGGCAGCGGTCAGGACAGAGGCGGAGGGTGGTGACACAGGCAGAGGGCAAAGAGGCAGCGGCTGGGGAGAGGAGGGGAGGGGGAGTGAGAATCAGGCTGCTTACAAGCCATCTTGAGCGGCTGTAAAGCCGATCAAGATCACTTGTACAAAACGGCTCCCCCTCTACATTAGCCCTGCTGCTTGCCCGAAGCAGGGCTAAATGTAGAAAAAAACTACCCGCCCGGCGACCGGAACTGCATGTGCCCTCTGTGTCCAGTGCTGCTGCAATCTCCACTGATGATTCTTCCGGGTCTTGCGATGGTCCTCTTTGACCATTAAGCGCCCACTGATAATGTAACTCATGCACATGTGCACAGGAGTTGCATCATCCACAACACCTAGCCCATTCCCAGCATCTAACAGGAGTAAGCCAAGAGTGTACACTGCACGGTACATGTTTTTTGGGTGCCGAGCGGACATCACATGTCTCTTCTGCCAAAAATCCCTACCTCCCAGCAATTTTTCATTTTTGGAGTTCAATTTCGTTTTAAGCCCCTAATATGTGTTAGCAATAGTATAACAATTGATGCACTGCTACTGCACAATAAATCTACCACAATGCAGCTGTTGCTGTCTATGCTATTGCAATACACCTATACCACTTGTAGTAGGTTTGGACATATTATTTAGGTATTTAGGAACTTGTAAGTTAGGAACCTTACACTTCTACCTACTTAGGTATTGTCACAGTCTGGGAACCTGAGGCACTGAGGAACATAGGCTCTGGAATTTATGGAGCGGGTCAGGACAGACTGAGCAGAAATGATGCCTGGGATGCAGGTCACAGGGAACCCAGGGACTGAAGTGACTGCACATTACTTGGGGCTTGCTAGACGTGCAGGGTCTAAGGAGTGCCAGGTCTTCCCCAGAGTCTATGGAGCTGGGGATATTACGCTGCAGGACAGCTCCCCGGTTGCGACCATGTTACACACCTGTGCAGGCACAGACGACAGGATACTGCAGAGGTGAAAAGTGGAACAGTTGCACACTGAGGTTCAAGATACAAAGGCAGGCAGAGGTGAAGTCTGTTTACACACTACTGATCAGGAGTACAGGATACCAAGGTAATCAATCAGAGAAGGGAGTCCATACTTCAAGGTGATAGGAACACTGGTATACAGCAGAGCCAGTAACAGCACACCTAGCCAGGATACTCAGAAGCATGCTGATAGAGACAAGCAGCCACACTGGAGCTGGATAGAGACTCACTGGTAATGCACAGATGCTGCGGTGCAGAGAGCTCACTGAAGATTGTGATAACAGTTCACTTGTTGGAAGCACAGGATCTCACAAAGAGCACAAAGAAATCAGAAGGAGACACAGGAAGCAGCAACACTGGTCATTAGCAGTTTGCAGTAATCCTCAGAAAAAAAAAGGGGTCTGGCTGTAGTTCATAGACATGTTGGAATGCCGAACAACAGGGGCACTAGCCTTTTAACACAGAGGTTTAGAGCAGATTGGCAGGAAGCCAAGCACCTCGGACAGGGGGCAAAACCCAGTGCTGGATCAATGCACAAGGAACTGTGACACCTACCTTACTCCTGGGGACTGTATCATAAGACCTACAGATGCCAGAATACTGCTAATTCTAATAATGATCTAATTAAATCTGTGTCATAAACAAGCTAACTTAATTACCACACCTTAAATCACACTGCAGCATTAATAAGCATACTTTCAATCACTAAACATTTGCTTTTAAGTGTACACAGTAGCATAATGAAAAAATTATATGATATACAGTATCTGGTGATTGAAGTGAGTTACACAATTATATAATATAATGTCTGGTGTATTTCTCTTATTTCTTTTCAAATTTTATGCAGCGTGCAATATCTTGCATCTGTCCAGCACTGTCAGTCCACCAATGATCAAAGATCTTTATTATACAGTAATTTATAATAATAGACTGTATATTATTATTATTAGTAGTAGTAGTATTATACCACTATTATTATTTATATTTAATTTAAAGACATATATATCTGACATTATGGGGTTTATTTATCAATGCTTCCACACAAAATTTACACAACTTACAACCAAAATTCACACACTTTTGTAATGTAATCTTGGGTGAAAGCTGTGTGAAACTTGGGTGAAAACATTAATAAATAGACCCCTTTCACTTATAACGCTGCATATTTAAAATATACCATTGAGTAGACTGACCCTAAAGCATATTTACTTTGCAAAGTGAATTTTCACTTTAGCTTAGCTTAGTAAATGAGGTGAGGCTTTGCTGACTTCAATCATCCAATCATATGCAGGCAAAAATCCTGTGTCTATTTTTAATTTTCACCACATTTTCTAAGCGAAAAGTGAACATACTCAATTATTTTAATATCATGAGGTCAATTTTCATATAACTAGGACAGAAGTCAAGAAATAACCAGATTTACCACTAGATGGTGCAATTGTCCAATCCAACTATTGATGCTGCTAAAATGCAGTTGCATTACGTTACACTCTCAAAGTTTCCTCATTTATGTTCTCACTCCAGAATAAAACTGTGTGGTTCAAACTAATATATATCCATACTTTAGTTTATTTTTCTGCAGTGCAGCACATCACCAATCACTTCTATGTTGTGGTGTAAATAGGGCACATAGAAAACAATTGCTTTCTATGTGTCCTAGCAGTGACATGCAGTAAAACACAGGTCACGGCTTTATATGTGAATGGGCCCTTAAACTTACCCGGGGAATACATGGTTGCTTATTAAATAACTAAAATAAATATATATATATATATATACCTTAAGGTGACTTCCATCTCTTCTGCTTGTAACACAGGTCCATTCACAGGTTCAACATGAACTGAATCACCAGGCTTCACCTTGAGGTTCTTCTGTGCTGCTGGTCCAATTCCTACTTTCCCCGAACCAAAACCACTTACAGGCCAAGCAGTACACACCTACAAGCAACAAACACGCACATTATATTATATAATATATATATAAAACACAACATCACTAAACCTAAGGCATAGAGATCCATACTTTGCTTTGCTTTAGACCTCATGCACATGGGAATTAAAATACATGCTTTTAGGTGCTATTGGAGCTCTGCACCTGAAAGAATGTAATGATTTAGTATGGCTAAATACACACCTAGATGTCCAGAAGCATCTATGTGCATTCAGTCTAGCTGCACTTACACAAATAAGAATTTTCTACATCCTGGGACCATTCAGCCTGGTTTTATGGGGCTAAACGCATGTAAATGTGTCTAAATGCACCTAAACTTAGGAACATCTAAATGCAAGAAACCATGCATGGTTGAATTCAATGCACCGCCACGGCCCCTCCCGCCCCAAAACCCGGGGAGAAGTTTCTTATCGATCGCGGTTGGTTCCAGCAGCTACCGCTCTGGAACACACACGCTTTCGGTGTGAACAAGGCCTAAATTCATGCTGACACTGTGCTTCCTTCTGGAGGGTGGCTACTTTTGTTCACCATGGTCCCTGTGTGTGTTGTAAAGCAGCCACGGCTCCAAGCTTGCTCCCGTGTTGGACTACAATTTCAATACAAATTAGTAAACTATCAGGGTTATTCACAAAAGTGTGAAGAGTTTGGAGAGGGCAGGAGAAGTGAACAATCTAGGCCAAAATAGCTGAACTGGAAAGTGAGCTGAATTGGAGAATTTTTCCAAATCGGCTATTTTGTCCTAGATTGTTCACTTCTCCTGCCTTCTCCAAACTCGTCAGGCTGGGTTCACGCCTAGGCGTATCGAATATGCGCGAGGGCTACCTGGCTGAACCCAATGGATACGCACGGCAAATACACCCCAAAGAAGCTCCTGTACTTCTTTGGGCGTAGGGCGTTTTGTAGCATACGGCCTGTAATACGCCCAGGTGTGAACCATACCCATAGGAAATAATGGGATTTCGGTGTTTGAGCGTTTTGCAGAGCGTAGGAACGCACTACAAAACGCCCAGGTGTGAACCGGGCCTCACCCTTTTGTGAATAACCCTGTAAATGTGAGATTGTAGTCCTTCATGGGAATGAGCTTGGAATGGTATAATGTTATATACGCCAGCTCTATATACCAAGAGCTAAGCGATCATATAACTGCTGAGTGATCATCTCACGGTCTTCTTTCTGCAGAAAGCAGAGTCAGTCACAACTCCGCAAAGGGATTCCTCCCACACCTCTCCGTACCTGCAATGCTCATTAGAGGGACATGACAGGGCATGTAGTGTGCGGCAGATAGATCCTTCCCAACTGCAGCACAGCTATGTGCTGTTAGCATACAGTGGAAATAAGCCAATTATCTGTTGAATATGGGTCACAGTAGTACATTAGCAAATACACTCCTGACCCAAAAGAAAAGTGAAGCCAAAAAAGGTTTGCTTTTAGTTCTCTTTTAAAGCAGAATTTCTGTGTCATATTAAAGGAGAACTATGGGGTCAGGGCTTTTCCCCATAGTTCTCCTTAGGGTAACGGGAGGACACAACCTAGCATCCTCCTGTCACCCTAAGCTCAGTATACCGCGAGCTACAGGTCGCGGTATACTGAGACGCCGCAGTTGAAGCGGATCCCGACTTCTGACAGTGGCCATCTTTACTAAGGGTAGGTTACTAGCTCTCCTTTTACTTCCTAGAACTCTGGCACATGTGACTAGGACATGTGACCATGCACATCATCTCAGGGGAGGAAAATGCCTTTTCCCTGAGATCTCATAAGAATACAGATGAGATTTCCCAGCAATGCTCTGCTGATGTAACCTTCCCAGGATGCAATGCTCTGGCACATTACATTATTTGTGCCAGAAGTGGACCAGGAAGTAGATAAACTCTATTTGTAAGTAAAGTTTGTTTAAAGGAGAACTATGGGGTTAGGGCCTTTCCCCATAGTTCTCCTAAGGGTAATGGGAGCACACAAACTAGTGTCCTCCCATCACCCAAAGCTCAGTATACCACGAGCCACAGCTTGCGGTATACTAAGACGCCGCAGCCGGAACGGATCCCGACAATTATGTCTGGATCCGTCCAGCTGTGTGAGAGACAGCTGGCTCTGCCTATCTTAGAGGCAGAGCCAGCTGTACCCTTCCCGTCGGTTCCGCCAATCAGCGCTGGAGGATCGGGGGGGGGGGGAATCCAGCCCCTCCCCTGTCACGGCAGAGAGCCGTGTCAGGATCGAGAAGTGAGCGAACGCCGGTATGTGTTCGCTCACTTCCCGATCTACTGAGCCGACCTGTGACAGTTTCATTGTCACAGGTCGGCTAGAACTATGAGGATGAGTGAAAAGCACTCACCTCATAGTTCTCCTTTAAAGAACAGTCCATTCAATAATTACATTTTGCAGATAGAAAGAGTGTGTCTGAAAGGAGACAACTTGTGTTTTTGTTTATATGTGTATGTACAACCCTAATTCCAAAAAAAGTTGGGACGCTGTGTAAAATCTAAATAAAAACAAAATGCGATGATTTCCAAATCTCATAAACCCATATTTTATTTACAATAGAAAACATATCAAATATATAAACTGAGAAAATGTATAATTTTAAGAAAAAAAATAAGATAATTTTTAAATTGATGGCAGCAACACATCTCAAAAAAGTTAGGGTAGTGTCATGTTTACCGCAGTGTAGCATCCCCTCTTCTTTTAACAACACTCTGTAAACATCGGAGAACTGAGACCATCTGCTGCAGTTTTAGAGGAATGTTGGCCTGATATGGGATTCTAACTGCTCAACAGTCCTGGGTCTTCTTTGCCGTATTTTGAATTGATGCGCCAAATATTTTCAATTAGTGAAAGGTCTGGTCTGCACGCATGAAGCAATACTGTTGTCATAGATGCAGTATGTAGTTTAGCATTGTCCTGCTGAAATATGCAAGGCCTTTCCTGAAAAAGACGTTGTCTGGAGCATATGATGCTCTAAAACCTGGATATATCTTTCAGCATTGATGGTGCCTTTCCAGATGTGCAAACTGCCCATTCCATACACATTAATGCATCCCCATACCATCAGAGATGTAAGCTTTTGAACTGAGTGCTGATAACAAGCCGGAGGTGCCCATGGTTGCCAAAAAGAATGCCAAATTTCAATTCCTCTGACCACAGACCAGTTTTCCACTTTACAACAGACCATTTTAAATGAGCTTTGGCCAAGAGAAGACAGTGGCGTTTCTGGATCATGTTCAGATATGGCTTCTTCTTTGCAAATAGAGCTTTAACTTGCATTTTTGAATGGCACAGCCAGCTGTGTTTACAGACAGTGATTTTTGTAAGAATTCCTGAGCCCATGCCAGACATGCCAACTCTCCCAGACGCTCTGGGAGTCTCCTGCTATTAGATAGCAGCCGCCCGGGAGAGAAACACTCGATCGAGTGAACCTTTCTCTGCTCTGTTTTTTTTTTTTTGTCTGACATTGGGGTTGCCGTCTGCCGTCAGTCAGAAAAAAAAAAGCATACGAATGCATAGCTAGATTCCTATTGGCTATTTCACTGTGCAATAGCCAATAGCAAACTAGCTATTACACCGCCCACTGCTGCTGTCAATCAGCAGAGGGGGACCTGAAGTTCTCCATCAGGTCCCCTTCTAGTGATTGACAGCAGCAGAGGGTGGGTGCAATAGCCAGCTTGCTATTGGATATTGCAAATTGAAATAGCCAATAGGAATCTGGCTATGCATTCCTATGCTTTTTTTTAAATTATTATTATAATGACGGCAGCAGCTGTCAGAATACAAAAAAAAAACCTGCAGATAGCAAAGAAGCTATTGCTTCCTTGTTATCTGCCATCGTTTCAGGGGGGTGCTCTCCCCCCCCCCCTGCGGATAGGGGGGGGGGGGGGCAGAGGGCACCTACCTGAAATGAGAAGGGCACCTCCCTGAAATTGCTTCTTTCAGGTTGGGATCCCAGCCATGCAGTACTGTCCATCACAGATTAATGACTGTTTTTAATGCAGTGCCATCTGAGGGCCTGGAGATCATGAGCATCCAATATTGTTTTGGCCTTGTCCCTTTGCCACAGAGATTTCTCCAGAGTCTCATAATCTTTTGATTATATTATGTACTGTAGATGATGATATATTTCAAGTCTTTGTAATTTTACGTTGAGGAACATTATTCTGAAATTGTTCAACAAATTTTAGACCCAGCTTTTTATAGATTGGTGAACCTCTGCCCATCTTTACTTCTGAGACACTGACTCTCTAAGATGCTCTTTTTATACCCAATCATGTTACTGACCTGTTGCCAATTAACCTAATTAGTTGCAAAATGTTCTTCCAGCTCTTCCTTGTTCGTACCACTTACTTTGCCAGCTTTTTGTTGCCCTGTCCCAACTTTGCTGCCATCAATTTCAAAACGACCTTATTTTTTTTTTTTAATGGTACATTTTCTCACTTTAAACATTTGATATGTTTTCTATTTTCTATTGTGAATAAAATATGGGTTTATGAGATTTGCTGATCATTGCATTCTGCTTTGATGTACATTGAAGGGCTGCAGCTAATGATTATTTTCATAATCGATTAGTTAGCCGATTATTAACTTTGATTAATCGGATTTAAAAAAAAAAAAAAATAGAATATGCTGCGATACCTGACATTTGTAGCGCAATTGTCGTTTTTCTATGTAGGTGCAACCGACTTGTGTTTCTGTTAGTATACGCGCATTTGCAGGGTTGGGGGACTTTCATTTTTTTTGAGGGGGGATTTTTTTAATTCTTTTTTTTACCTCATTGCTATCACATGGGGGGGCTCACAGGCCCCCTATGTAACGGCACATTGGAGGTGACAGGTTCTCTTTAAGGTGACATTAGGGGTCTTTTAGACCCATAGTGTTACCTTTCCACTTCACTGGATTCAGCTGCTGAGGCAGCTGAATGTAAATACAGCATTCGGTCAATCAGCAGAGGTGGGAACTGAAGGAGAAAGTTCTCCTTCAAGGCCTCCTCTGCTGATTGACACAAGGCATTGGGCGGGTGCAATAGCCAGCCTGCTATTGGCTACTGCAATTTAAAATATCCAATAGCAGGCTGGCTATTGTTACAAGTGTCTGCTCCTTTTCCACTTGATGAACCTTTTTCCTTTTGGTTATATATCTCAAAGTGTCAGCTGTCCGTGCTCCTTATTTGTTTAATAATGCACTCACCAGATGTACTCAGAAGTTTTTGCTCTCAATCAAAGAAGGGAAGGTCCATTCTGTTTGTTCACAAGGGAGGAGAGGAGAGAAGCCGTAAATCTTGACTACACACAGAACGGACCTTCCCTTCTGGTGAGTGCATTATTAAACAACTAAGGAGCACGGACAGCTGACACTTTGAGATATATAACCAAAAGGAAAAAGGTTCATCAAGTGGAAAAGGAGCGGACACTTGTAACACTGTGAACTGTCTTAACAGGCGGAGGGACGGAGGAGCAGCAGCAGCAGAGGTACAAGGGGGAGCAGCGGCAGATTTCAGAGTCACCGGCCGAAGTTTCTTCTCCCCTCTCGTGCCGGCACAGCGGCCAGTGAAAGGGAAACAAAGCGCTGCAGCCAGCACCAGCAGGGAGAAGGGACTGCGGCCGGTGATTCTGAAATACCTCCGCTGCAAGCAACTAATCGAAAATCAACAAGTCGATGGGAATAGTTGCCAACTATTCACATCATGGATTCGTTGTTGCAGCTCTAGTACATTGTGCAGAGTGTTCAAACTTTTTTGGAATTGGAGATTTGGGGCTGTATATATGTGTGTGTGTGTGTATATACACACACACACTTGCATACTCAGTATATTAAAAACAAGTTTAAAATCAATAAATCTAAAATAACACTAACAGTACTATATGTATCCAACAGCATACAGAGTTTCTTCAGCAGAGTATTAAATGTATTTCTACCTCTTGCCTCCCATCTGTGCTTGTTAGCAGAACTGGACGTCCAATACAGAGATCTGCCAATTTCATACTGGTCAGTCCAAGCTGTACAAATGAGCATCTGTAACACTTCGGTACCTTGTCCTCTACTAGAAGCATTTAAGAAGAAAAAAAAAGTAAATACTCAAACGAGAAAAAAACAAATATCTGAACAAATTATGGAAGATTTTCTTTTCATATTTTGTAGGGATGTCCCGATACCACTTTTTCAAGACCAAGTACAAGTACTTCCACTCATGTACTTGCCGATACTTTTTCTTAAAGGGACATGTGACTTTAAATGATCCATAGTACAACTACATGTTATGTACTATGGATCATGATTTAACCTATTCATGTTAGCAGGTGGAATTGTAAATCTATTGCTGTAGTGTAGTAGAGGTGTGTGCTGTATATATGTACTACATATACAGTACACACATCCAGTACACTGTAGCAAGAGATTTCTCAGCCAGCCCTGTCCCGGCTTCCATCACTCAGTTTCACTCCGATCCCTGTTGCCTCACGTGGTGCCTCTTTTAGTCGGCGCTGGGCAGGATCGCTGCATCGCGTCTCGGTGCTCAGCTTGTGTGAGGCGCACACAATTCTGCCCTGCTAACATAAATAGGTTAAATCATGATCCATAGTACATATACAGCACATACGTCCCTAACAGTGCAGTAATAGAGTTACAATTATCCCCTTCTAACATGAATAGAATAGGTTAAATCATGATCCATAGTACATAACATGTAGTTGTACTATGGATGATTTAACCCATTTAGGTTAGCAGGGGATAATTGTAAATCTATTGCTGCAGCGTATTGGGAATATGTACTGTATATGTACTACATATAGATTACACTGCAGCAATAATTTTTTAATTATCCCCTGCTAACATGAATAGGTAAAATCATGATCCATAGTACAACTACATGTTATGTACTATGGATCATGATTTAACCTATTACTCTATATGAAGTACATGGACAGTGCACATTACAAATACAATGCACCTCACATTTCAGCACAGGCCCTCACTTACTGGTGCCTGTTCAATGGAGGTGCCTCACATGTGAGGACGTCGTCGGTGATGATCGGCTGAGCAGAGGAGCATCGCGTCACTGCTGTGGGCGGTGCTCCAGGTGGGGTCCTCTGGGCAGTCGCTGCCCACCTACATTACCCCACCTGGAGCGCCTCCCACAGCAGTGACGCAACGCTCCTCCGCTCAGCGCCACCGACGTCCTCACATGTGAGGAAAAGCATTTGGCACCCCGTAAGGTACAGAAAAAAAACGCAAGCATCGGGGCGTTTTGACAAGTACAAGTACTTGTCAAAATGCCCTGCATCGGTCCCGATACCGATGCTAGCTTCGGTATCTGAACATCCCTAACATTTTGCTTTCTGTTCAAAATATATTTTTGGTTTTATTTTTTTCAAATTAGGCCTTGACTTTGCTGGAGTTGGAAAAAATGATTGCAATAAAAACAAATGCATTGTAGTACTACTTCAAAATATAACTATAGGAAAGCCTTTTTTAGATTTGGATAGTGAGAGTGATGAGGGATTAGAACCACTAATAGGTGTTTATTGCTGTGTTCCTGTTAGGGAGATTTACTCTTTGTAATTGTCCTGATATCTAATGTCATCAGGAAGGAAAATAAGGGTCTATCCAAAAATTTGAAAACAGAACAGGAATAGAGGAGCAATCTTCCAATGGAGAAACGTGTTTTTGTGACAGCTGTGTAAGAGAGAAGTTTCCTCACACGGGAAGGATAACCCCCCACTTCCTGTTGTTTCTACAGGACAGGGAGTGAAGGGAAATCTCTATAATGAGACAAAGATGGCAAAAAAAAAACTGACAGTGGTTCTAATCCTCACCTAATCTTTCCAACATAACAAGTTTATGGTTGAATTTCTAAAAAAGGTGAGAATTGATTCCAAATGTGTGAATGTTCACTTCAATTATCTAGTCACGTGAAAAACACACAATTGAAAAATGTAAATGATTTTTAACAATTATTTTTTTTTTAGTAAAGCAGCCTTTGCTTTTAAAAAAAAATATGTACCATTCCTTATGAACTGGCATAAATTATCATATTTTATACAGTTTGAATACATAGGCCAAAAATCACCTTATAGTGGACCTTTACCCCCTTTGACTAAAAATCAGCATTTACAAGCTCTGCATGCGGATATGAAATCATCTTACATCTATTAGCTAAACAAACATATTTTTATTTTATTTACAATTTTTTCCCCACTTCCTGGTCCACTTTGGCACAAATTATGAAATTGTATCCAAGCATTGCATCCTAGGAAGGTTACATCAGCAGAGCATTGCTGGGAAATCTCATGAGACCTCAGGGAAAGGCATTTTCTTCCCCAGAGATGATATGCATGGTCACATGTGCCAGAGTTCCAGGACGTAAAGGGAGATCTGGTAATCTGCCCTACATTAACATGGCCACTGTCAGAAGACTGGGGAAGAAAATAAAAATAAGGTATGCAAAGAATACAAAGCCGGCAATTATCTAGAAGTATGTGTCTGTAAATTGTCATTACTAAACATTTCTTAAGGTGCGTTTGTTGTTATTTTAAAGATATGGGTAAAGTTTATCTTTAATATTTATATTCATTTGGATTTTATATTAAAGCCGTAGTAAACTGCCACCACAAAAGTTACCTTTTGGGCACCCAGGAGGTGTTTGCCATTATGTGAAATCACAGGGGGCAACCTGTAACCTCACTTTGTTATGCTTTTCCTTAAAAATTTACTGCACAGCTAGCCACACAAGATAATTTTTGAAACAACTATTGATAGATATATGCAGGGCTTGAGGGTAGCTACCAACTATGAGCTGTGTTCTGATAATTAGATATACAGTGTCCCAAACCTTACAAATGTTAAGGAAAGGGAAATTTGCCTTAGACTGGATTCACACCAAATGCATGCTGCCTTGGCTGTTTTTTCCTAGCACAGACCCAATGCAAGACAAGCAATTCACCCTTCATGGATGAGCTCAGGTCACTCAGTGGTGGATGCATGCAGTACTTTATTTCCATGCAGCTGGTACAACCGCATTGCACCACACTGTGCCCAAAGAGCTTAAAGAAATGTCACGCGTGAAAAAGAAAAGGTTAACAGTGCAATGCACCAAGATTGGCACTGTGACAGTTACCGCACACCAGCAGCTAGTAATAGTGCAGCCAACAGTATAAACTTTCAACGTGTAATCTGCAGACAGTCTTACCTCAGGTCTACCCAGAACCTTCCTTGATATGCAAATATGTGATATGCTCAGGCCCCAGGCAATGTATTGTGGGATGGGGTGTACCTAATCTCCAGGAGAAAAAAAACCTCAGAATGATCTGGGGAGCTCTAAAGGCGAGTTTTAGCAAAAGCAGACAGTATACAGGCCTCAGGTGTTAGCATTTTTTTTTTTCGATTTTGACCACAGGTTTGCTTCGAAGTGGACCAAAAATCAAAATGTGGAAAAAAAAAAAAACTTTCTCAACCACCATCTACAGGAAGCATCAAAAATTGTTAGCTGTGTCTATTACTCAGCAAAATTTACCTCTTGCCCTGCATGCTTCCTAAAATATAGTTCACCTTTTGACATGTGACTGTAAGAAGGCAATCCCGTACTATAGTCTAATAATGGCATATCTGTAGTGTGAGAGCATCTGAGACACTTGTACCTCTGCTATTCTTAAGAGATACGGAATAAAATGTTGGCATTTCATTTGGTGGCTATAAACTGCAATGTGTCCAGAGCTGTTGAGAAGCAGTTGGATCAGAGAACAGAAGTCAATTAACATGATAGGGATTCACTGTGCAGATTTATAAAAAGTGTTTTACAAGAGTTTAGTAAGCAGATTTCTTTTTGTAAGGTAATTTGTTGTGACAGACAATGATCAAGACTCACCCAAGGGGAGCCTACACTCTGCAAAGTGTAAATGTGTTTTTTTAACTGTGGAAGGAAAACTTGTTTCACAGTAATTTCTCCTGACCAAGTATTTGGAATGCTTTACCAGACACTTGGTAAAGGCAAATAAACGATCACCAAATATCCTAGACATGTACTTCTGGCTACACTGACTTTCCTGTTCTGCGTATTTGTTCTGGATCAGTGAAAAAGGGTTGAAGCCAGTGTGTCAGTAAGCCATTAGGAAGCTAGCATTTGCAATAGGCCATGTTTGTTCCTGGAAATGTTTAACATGGTGTGTGTCCATGACTTGCATTTCTTTTTCAGGTGGGGAACGGATTCTCTTTCAAGTTGATGCCCTGGGCAATGACAAGGGGCAGAAGTTAAAAGGAGAACTATGAGGTGAGTGGCTTCCACTCATCCTCATCATTAGAGCCAACCTGCGAAAGAAGCTGTCACGGGTCAGCTCTACGATCGGGAAGTGAGCAGATCCCCCCCCCTCCAGTGCCGACTGGAGGAACGAACAGGGGAGAGGGCGGTTACAGCTGGCTCTGCCTCTAGATAGGCAGAACCAGCTGTCACTCGCTATATGCTGAGCTTTGGGTCATGGGAGGAAGTTAGTATATGTCCTCCCATGACCCTGAAGAGAACTATGGGGGAAAAACACTTACCACATAGTTCTCTTTTAAAGAACTCCTGGATTTTATTTTTATTATTAATTAATCCTTGCAGTGGTGCTACCCCCCGCAATGAAAGGGTTAAGTGCTAAAATAACTAAATTATACTCACCCGAAGCTCCGAACCAGCCAGCTGTCACAGCGCTTCCTCCAGCTTGTCTCCCCCTCCCTGCAGAATTGGAATCTTCTTCAGCACCCTCACATCTATGCACTGTGTAAAGACGTTGATGATTTAGGGGACCTTAGACCGCTGCAGAGGAGGGGGAGAAACACTGGAAGGACTGGCCTAAGACTAAGCCAGGTTGAAGCTTTCGGTGAGTCTAACTTTTTTTTTTAACCTAGTAATAAACGAAACACTTAACCCTTGCAGTGTGGGGGTAGCCCCACTGCAAGGGTTAATAAAAAAATTACCCCAGAGTTCTTTAAGTATCAACTTCAATTTTTTTAGACACTTTGGCTACCGTACCATGTCTCTTATTTGTCCTGACAGCATGTTTATTTCAGAAAAAAAGAAATCACACAACTAAATACTTTATACTGAATTTTAATGTTTAAAAATGTTCAAACATTCCACCAGTAAAGGCAAACAACTCAGGATTCATAAGAAACAAGATGCAGTTTTATTAATAAAGCAATGGTAAATGAACACTTTAATTTTCTTTTATTAGTTATTTAACATAACCCAAAATGATGGCATCATGGGAAAAAAAATCAATTCATAATTATTATGAATACAGTTTGAAAAAAAAACAAATACAATCTGTCATTTCAAATAAATGTGTACTAATTTGTAATACCTCCCTTACAGAAATCAAAACAAAGTTTACCGAGTATTTAAGTAAACCTGCGTGACTGACTACCATACCGAGGTAAACCTAAAGCTTTCCAGAAGGTTCTCTAGGGTTTATCTACACATCACAGCCCACTTATACAAAATGGGGGGGCGCAGCTAACTACACTGCCCGCCCTTTACATTGCAATGCTTGGTGTCCTGGAGTGACCTATTGCCGTGTCCAAGAACTGACATATGTAGGTGTGCCTAGCCTTATGCTAATACCGACTTTCAAAATCTTATATTAGGATAGGATTTTGAGGTGCTGGTGAAGCAGACCAGAGAGGCAGAGTACACCATGCAGGTGCTACCAAACTCCCTTAAGAGCAAATGAACTCTGGAAGATGTGCACAAAAAAGATGTCCGGCACAGGACTAGTGACCAGTGCTGTGGTCTCCCTGCAGTTGATCTTTTACCCATTACCGACTTACTATGCCTTGCTCTACACTGTGTCTCTGTGTGAACACTGTGTCTCTGTGTGAAGGCAGCCATCTTGGCAGAGGCAGGGCTTTGCTTCCTACAATGACAACGCTGAGAAGGGAGTATAGTATTGCTGCCACTGACAATAATGTAGGAGGGTTTATTATTAATGTCTCTGCTCTGACCTGAACACCACTTCCCAGAAACCCCTGTGTGGCCATGTCTGTGGCAGCACCGTGTTTCCATATAGGCTGCTGTAAGCAGCAGGCCCCTGAGGATGGAGCTGATTTTATGATAAGTAATGTTTCAATTGAAAATTGTAAAAAAAAAAGTTAGATGCAGTTAGTTTAGATGCAGCCCACCACTTGACTTGTGTATATAAATGTGGCCCTTGAGTTAAGCTAAACACCACTGATATATATATATATTTATTTTTTTCTATTTAAATGAAAACAAAATCTGAAAAAAAAGCTAGTACAGGATCAGTTTGCATATTCACAATGAAAAAATAACAGAGTTTATTTACCATTACTGCTGGATGTTTAACAAGTATGATCAACTCATTAAGGGTTAGTTCACACCATAAGCAGTGCGTTCCGGTCCGATTCTGGCCGGAACGCACTGCCTCACATTGCGACCGGCTCACAATGTGCCTTGCAATCCCGTGCGGGCGATCGCATTGCGGCCGGAGGGCGTGGCTACGGTGCCATTCACTTCAATAGCCCACCACGCCCCCTCCAGCCCGGCAAAAAAGTGAGCCGGCCGCAATGTGAGGTAGTGCGTTCTGGCCAGGATCGGACCGGAACGCACTGCTTATGGTGTGAACTAAAACAGTATTACTTTTCTATGCACAACCCATCTGAGTTGGCAACTAATCCCATTTAATACAGAAATAGCTAAGCTATTTTTTTTTTATTAATTTCGAGGCTAATGCACACATCTGCAAAAGAACCTGTGTATTTCTGTGTAGAACCTGTTATTTCAACGTGGCAAAAACCAAGGGGATGAGTTAGTAACCCTCATAGAAGATTAAAGTGACATTAAAGGATAATTTTTTTCCCTCCCCCCCAATGTCAGTACTTACCTTAAATTATGTCTCTTAATCCGATCTTTTCTGATGTTTTCATCTGTCCCTCCAGCGGTGCGGCGGGTCTCCGATACAGCGCCGACTCCTCTCAAGCGGTGTCTGCATGCGGGTGCACACGTCCATATACTTACCTTACGTCTCTGCTCGTCTCCCGGCCGAGAATGCGAACCCCCCAAGATGCTTTGCTGCCGCGCGAGCAGTTTCGTTTTCTCGGGCGGGAGTGTGCAAAGAAAACAAGGTAAGTTTAAACCGCTGTTATAGCGGGGTTTTTTTTTTTAAACTGTTTGCCTATATCTACTGCTTGATAGCAGTAGATACAGGCAAAAAAACGGGAGGGTTTAGAACCACTTTAAGATGTCCGCAGTTCTGAAAGCAGAATGAGGACTCAAATGCTGGCCACACACAGCTTGAATTTCTGCCGATTCCTGCCCTGTCTGCATCACAAGCTACAACTGAAAAGTCAAAGGAGCTGGGTAGAAATTTGTTGGGGCAACAGTGACTGCATCCATTAAGATGCAGTCACTGTTCAGGTATTCAGACAGCCACAGGTTCTGGCTTCCAAAATATAATAGCCATCAGGGGAAGGGGAAGGGTCGGGGAGTTGTTTGGATTGGATGGGGGAATCTTGTTAGATTTCTCTAGTTCAGCCCAAGCTGAATGAGGGGAAAAAAAAAAAAAAGTTCCCTGCTCCCATGTACATATGAACCCAAATGTGCAGGTCGGATACGCAGCATGCAAATACAACAATCGCACCACATGTGTTAGGTATCGCTGCGCATGCTGGAGTGAAAGCAATAAGTTTAGGGCCATTATTCAACGTTAACTCTAAAATGAGATGCGATTTTAAAGCTCAACATGTTTGGTATCTTCTTATTTAGCAAGAAACCAAATGTTATAATGTGTTCAAAGGTGCTAAAATTCAATTGTAAAATGTTTTTTACTACAAATATGGGTTTGATAAACAGTTGCGCTAATATCGCGTAACTTAAAGAACTATGGGATGGGTAAAATCCCCATAGTTAGAGCCGGCGTGTGACACTGCAGCTGTCACAGGTCAGCTCTATTGATTGAGCACTGAGCGATCACATACGTCTGATCACTCAGCTCATGATCTCCCTGCAGAGACTATTGTCAGTCACCGCTCCCCTCTCTCTGTTCCTCCAGCACTCAAGCTGGCTCTACAGAGGAAGAGCCAGTTGTCAATCAGAGGGATGGAGCCTGACAATCTTGTCAGGATCTTTCCCGGCTGTAGTGCGGCTATATGCTGAGTTTTGGGTCACAGGAGGACATTAGTAGATTTTCTCCTGTAATCCAAAAGAAAACTAATGCCAAAAAAGGTTTAGCCATAGTTCTCTTTACCAGATCTGGTACGGAAAATGGTGTGAACCTGCCTGGAGTTACAGTGCATTCCAGACCAGACAAAATGAGACATGCTGTATTTTTCTGGTCTGGTCTGGTCTGGAACGGACTGCACTGGTGTGAACAGAGGCCAGAAATAGAATAGGGATACATTAGGATGCATTTTGGTCTGGAAACAATCTGGATGTGGTGTAAATGCAGACATCCCAACTCTCCCTATATTGGGGGGGGGGGGGTTAAGTAATCCTCAGGCCTAAATGTGCATTTTAACATGTATGCAAAAAATAGCTCCAGCAGCAAAATGGTTAATGCAGGAAAAGCATGTTGCCTTATGGCAGCCCACTAAATGCCACCCACGCCATGCTGCCACTTATAGGTATAGTGATAAGAGACACAGGCAGGGAAGAAACTGGGCATTCTCACACAGCTCAGCGCAGACACCACTACCTTTCTCTAAGAAGTCGGTAACTGTAAACAGCGATGGCTGGCTGTTATGAGCCGAGGGTTCCGGGCCCGGAGAGGAGGCCACTGAGCCAGCTTTCCCCCTGCTCTTCTTCTTGCTGGAAGACATGCTTGTGATCAGCAGGAATCAAAACGTGCCCAGCGACAACATCCTAGTACGCAGGTCAAAGTTCCCGGGAAGGTTGTAATTTTTCGCATAGCCACGCAGCTGCCTTCGGCCCATACTCTTTGAGAACTACTAAGCAGTTCCTATTACATAGATTACGGTGTGACGACTATCTCCAGCTCCAGGATGATTATTGGCTGGTGTCGGGTGTAATGTTGGAAGCTGATCTCTCCATGTTACAGTATGGCAAACAAGCGGTGGTCACCAGTTATTGCCAGGCTTGCAGAGACTAGTGATAGATATCTACTGGTTACAACTGTCCATATTTTGCACTATTAGTACACTGCCCTTCTCTGGTACCATTTATTTTATATATTTTTTTATTCAATGAGGTTGGAAGGGGGTCAAGTCTTGTTGTTTTTGTTTGTGTGCGCTGTACTTCTGGGTAATAATGAATAGGGATGACTGGTGGCATATTTGTAACATTGCACCTCATTTGATTCTAATGCATTCTTCCAAACATCACCTAATAAGCAAACTCTCTCTCGCTCACCCTCCCCTCTAAGGCAGGGGTAGGCAAACAGCACTCCAGCTGGTGTGGAACTACAAGTCCCATGAGGCATTAGACGACTCTGACAGCCACAGGCATGCCTCCCAGAGGCATGATGGCATTTGTAGTTTCACCACAGCTGGGGTGCCAAGGTTTTCTAACCCTGACCTACTTTTTCAGAAAGCATTGGAAGCAAATCTTACTGGTGAAGCTGAGGCAGCATGTCCACGCACCATTAGGGCTCATTCACAGGGGAATTGGCCAGCACGTACAGCTCCGTGCTGCGTGCATGGCCGTATCGGCCAGCACCAGGGAAGGACAGGTGCTGCGCGTTATTAGTACGCAGCCCCCGCCCTTCTCTATGGGACCAAGCTGCTGTACGCGGCCCTACGATCACCCGCCCTACACGTCCGTGCGGGTGAGCGTACTCGAACGCTGAAAGGATGGATCCTGTCTGCGTCCGCGCCTAGACACATGCACCCGTACGGACCTGCACTTGAGGTGAGCGTAGGGCAGCGTACGGCCGCGTAGTCCCATATAGAAGGACGGGGGCTGCATACTAATCACACGCAGCACTTGTCCTTCCCGGGAGCGGCCCGATACCACCGTGCACGCAGCACGGAGCTGTACGTGTCGGCCGATTCCCGTGCAAATGAGGCCTTAAACTAATGGAGACACTCACATCCATCTATCTACACAATGTGCAAATATCTCATTTTTTCTCATTCACCGAAGACTTGGGTCATTGCTGTAACCTGATTTGCCACTCTTCTTTTGCTTAAAGTGGATCTTCACTCCACTGTTTAAAAAAGCTGGCCTTTTTTTTTTACATATTTTTATTTCCTTTTTTGTTTGACCCGTCCCCTGCCTCCATTCTTGCCTTGGCGAGAATGATGTTTCAGTCTCCTGAGTCACATATCACAAGAGGCATACTTTGCACCATATATAGAACAACATAGAAACACATTCGTCGACAGAGATCTGGTGCCATATCAGTTTCCATGTTGTAATATAAATGGTGGAAAGTAATGCCTCCTGTGATATGTGATGATGGTATCCTAGGAGACATTCCTTTTCACCATTTATAGAAAGTATGTAAACAGACATAGCACCAGATATCTGTCTGTCATGTGCGAGATCTGACATTGCGTCATGGCAGCTGAAAGAACTGAAAAGAGACAGCTGGCTCCCCATGATGTAAAAAGAAAGATGGCGGCGCAAGACCTGTAGTATGAGAGCAGTGCAAGAGTGGAGGACAATGCTGGATCCACTGGGCTTGTAAGTATATGATACTGCATCCAAAGGTGAGGAGTGAAAAAGACTGAAAAGTTTTTTTTTGGGGGGGGGGGGGGGTGACGTTCATCTTTATCTTTAAAGCGGACCTTTACCCGTATCTTTAAAATAACAACAAACACACCTTTACAAATTTTTAGTAATGACAATCTACAAACAGATACGTCTAGATAATTGCAAGCTTTGTATTCTTTACATGCCTTGTTTCTCTTTTATTTCTCTGTTCTTCACCAGTCATCTGACAGTGGCCATCTTTACTAAGGGCAGGTTATTAGCTCTCCATTTACTTCCTGGAACTCTGGGACTAGGACATGTGTCCATGCACATCATCTCAGGGGAGGAAAATGCCTTTCCCTGAGATCTCATAAAAATACAGATGAGATTTCCCAGCAATGCTCTGCTGATGTAAACTTCCCAGGATGCAATGCTCTGGCACATTACATCATTTGTGCCAGAAGTGGACCAGGAATCTGACACGCAGCATGAAAAAAGTTTAAAAAAGATTAAAGCATAAAAACAAAATAAAGCTAAAAAAAATAGTCACAAATAATTTTTTTTAAACCCCCCCCCCATATGCACACACAAACATGCGTCGGGTACACCAACGTGCGAAAACGAGGATTCCGCCTATTGTGCCGCACATGTTACATATGACCGCGAACGTCGGAATGAGAGCAATCATTTTAGGGCCATTAATGACTGATAACACTAAACTGATGAGCGGTTGAAGCTATTAAAGTGTCGCCTATGGCCAATTTTGGGTGTGATCCTTTTTTGCAATTTCGTGTGGCACGCAATTTTAAAGCTTGACATGTTTGGTGTCTATTTACCCGACGTGACCCTGTATTTTATGTTTTACCAAAAAATTGGGGTGATAATCAATGTTTCATAACATTTCATAGGGAAAGTTTTTTTTTTTGTTTAAATTTAGAGTACTTTTTTGTTCTATTTGTTTTACTATTTTTTAGTAAAAAATAAAACCCCCAGTGGTGATTAAATCCCACCAATCTGTCCCCTAAAAAATGGTATAAAATAAATTTCAGTACACCGTTGCATGACGGAATAAATGTCAGTCAAAGTACCGCAGCGCTGAATACTGAAAAATGGTCTGGCCAGGAAGGGGGTGTAAACACCTGGTCAGCAAGTCATTAATTTAGCATGGCTCCGCCCACATAACTGCGTCATCCATTTACAGATCCTTTGGCAGGATCTGTGAATGGAAAAACTACAAGTACTCTGAGCCATTGTGGTTGCAATTGCTTTACTGGTGCCAATGCAAAAAAAAAAAAAAAAGAAATGTACATTTTTTCTCTATGTAGAAGTGTGCATTTATTATATTTTTTTTTACAAAAGGTGGAATTTGTCTTTTATAGGAACTGTAAGGGAGATCTGTAGCAGAGTTCTCTCCGCCCCATGGGCACAGCAAGCTACCTGTGAGTAAGGGTGCTGGAACTTGAGTTTTTTGAGCTGTGACCATGTTTTATGTTACACTCTAACATAAAACATGATCACAAAGATGGACTAGGCCTTTAAAAGAGGGACATCTAAGAGAAAATACGGATAGATGGATCGGGTACCAACATGGAAGAGCTCTATGCTGAAGTTGAACGGACTCAGTCTTCCATTCGTAGCTTCCCGATCATTTCCAGCTATTATTGCAAAGGGAGGTCACATGATGACACACCAAGTTGAGCCCGGGTCACATGACATTGACATACCAAGCTGAGCCCGGTCACATGACATACCAAGTTGAGCCCTGGTCACATGACCATGACGTCACCCCGGTTGTGTAATACGTGAAGAAAGCTAGAATGCTGCGGTGTGGAGTGCTCTGGGCTCTTGGTGCCGTGTGTCGGTACACCAGAAGGGTGCAAGGGCGTGCCTTCAGCTCGGAGCCCTGGCCCCGGGAAACAGTGGACAGGTTCGGGGGTGTCATTGTTCGGCTTCTCCCCACACAGCACCGGGACGAGGCGGCTTCCTTCAGCAGCTGGCTGCGGGGCAAGTGCAATGTGTGCTGGGGGGAGGGTTGGCAGGGCTTCCACATATAAAGTTCCTTACTGACCCTTTCTGTGCAATGAAGACAATAATAAAACCATTCACCCCTGTGTACTGCTGCTGCTTTATTTCAGGCTTTAGGGTCATTATATGACTGAAATCATCATCTAAAGGTGTAGAGAACTGAGAGGCTGGCTCTAATACAGAAAGGACTATGTGCTGTTGAAGGATATTATACCCAATGAATAGCAGTGATGTACCTATCCTTGCCATAGTCATACACATTACAATCTGATTACACAATCTCCATTTCATCTATTAACAATTATGTAAGGCCCAGTCAATCTGCAGGCAGACCCATGAACTACATGGATCTTGTAGTGAATGTGCAATCACAATGTAAAGTGTATGGGCAGCTTAACTCGGACATCGTAAAGGAGCTAGCGTGTAACCTGATAGAGGGACAGCATCTGCCTGAGGCTTCTCACATGGTTATAATAACATTTCCTATATGTTTTTATGGTGAGTGAAGTTTATAGTATTGCCACAGCTAATTGTGGGGCAGCTGTGTATATGAGCTATCAGATCTTATGTCACCCGCAGTTGTAAGAAGTAAAAACGTTTAGGAAGATTACACCTCACACCCTGTCCCACTGACGACAAGGCAGGAAACGAGGGGAGTAGTTGTCACCAGGACAGGCAGGCACAGAGTAATATTAATCTCACAAAGGTTCTATCCCTTTCCAGTGTTTTGTCATAGTCTGTCTCCACTGGAGAGATCTATCACTTCCTGTCCAGGCAGGGGACACAGACTACAAATAAAAACTCAGGGGTTCTATCCCTTTCTTGATTTGTCAGAAAAAAAGCTTTGCCCTTAGTCAGCCTGTATTATAATTAAAGGCATAGTCCACCTTTTACATAAAAAAGAATAGCTGCTCCCACATTGATGAAAGAAAGAAACAACTATTCACGGACAGGGTTATTCACAAAAGTGTGAAGCGTTTGGAGAAGTGAACAATCTAGGACAACATAGCTGAACTGGAAAGTGAGCTGAATTGGAGAACTTTTACAAATCAGCTATGTTGTCCTAGATTGTTCACTTCTCCAAACTCTTCACCCTTTAGTGAATAACCCTGTAAATGTTTGCCCTCGGGTCTGCAAAGCATTGCAACCCCAATCAGTGAATCGCGGGTGCAATGCTCTGGCTCCTGCAGAATCTTCCTCCTGTCCCTGTCTAAACCGAGGTACAGACTTTTAGTTACCGGATGGGAGGAAGTAATCAATGGACTACAAGTACAGTGATGTTGGTGACTTGTAGTCCATTGAGATCTACAAGTCCTTACTGTGGTGGCAGATGGGACTTGCACTCTCTCCATTCACAGATGCCATGCCGAATGGAAAAAAAAAAATGACAAGACCTTGTGGGAGTAGAACCACACTAGTCGAGGGGGGTGGGGGGTAGAACCGCACTAGTTGGGGGGGCTAGGGAATAAGACCACATTTCATGTTACATCCTGAATATGGGTGTAACATGAAAAGCGGAGTCATTCTTTAAAGCAGAACTCTGGGGGAACTTTGTATTAACCCTTGCACTGAGGCTAAATGTCCTTATTTAAAACAAGGACAAAGAATCATAGAATTCTGAAATCTACCATTAACATGTACTTGGGAACAATGCGTCCATAGCATACATAGTAAGTTAATTTGCAATATATTGTATTCATTCTAGATTCCATTCAGAGATGGAAGGAAGAAGGCAGGATTGCAGTGTGGTTGCACATTCCAATCACTTTAAGTGGACTGATAACCTACGCTGCCTTGGAAGGATTTCAGTTCCATCATGCAGAAAACGACACCTCTACATTGACTCTATGGTTAAAAGGGTTAACAGAAGGTCCCAGCAGGCTTCCTGGATATGCCACGCACCAAGTCGGTGTTGCAGGTTAGTCGATATTTCATTATCATTAAATGGCCGTTGAGCACACAAGGCATCAAATGTGCACAGAACGGTATAAATGGATGACACCACTGTCAGTGTCCGTTCATATCCATGCAGATTACCAGTAAACAGGATAGATATTGGTTTATGATTGCTCCATTTGATTCAATTTGTGGGATCGTTATATCTCTGCTAATATTGCTCCTGCTCAGGCAACTGTCCTATAACCAGACTTTTGATTAATGCTGTGCCACCATTGACCATGCATCCTTCTATACTGACAGTGCAGGATGGAATGCTTTATGTTAGTTCCTTTGGTTGCACCTGTCACCAGCACCCTCAAAATATCCCTGCTACTCATTCTTGGAATATTCGTACACATATTGATTTCATTTGCTGATTGGCTGGAAATGTGTGCCTTGCTTTAAAAAGCTACTTATTGATTTCTGGGACCCACTGGAGGTCTTCAGCTACCTGTGGGCTGTGCTGAGCTTCTGGTGTGTCTCTGCACCTTTAGGGCTTATGCAGACGGGCGTACACGCCCATAAAAAAAACCCGATTTCAGAAGGGAAGGTGCTTCGTGTAATTGTGCGCAGCAGCCTGTTCTTCCTTATGGAAGAACGTGGCAGCACACAATTACATTCTGTCACATGCACACCTGAGCCTGCACATATGTGTGGGTCCGGATTTCCGCCCTTTGGACGCTCACTGTCTGGGGATGTGCAGATTCGGGTGTGTGTATGACAGATTGTAATTGTGTACAGCCACGTTCTATAGGGAAGAACAGGCTGCTGCATGCAACTACACGCAGCACCTTCCCTTTTCGGGATTGGGTCTTTTTATGGGCGTGCATACTGAATGGATGTGTACACCTGTGTGAATGAGCCCTTAAGGAGGGATTAGTTACCTCCAGAATACCTGCCTCTGATCGTTATTGCTGTGTATGTTTTTAGATTGTAAGCCCTCATGGGCAGGGCCCTCCTTACCATCTTGTCTTGAATTGTATTGTAATTGTAATGTCTTCCTTAAGGTGCCCATACACTGCTCGATTCTCGTACGAGAATCGCGGGAAATCCCCCGATCGTACGAGAATCGAGCAGTGTGAGCGAAGACGTGTGACCGTTTCTACTGAACGGTCGCACGTCTTTTGTCTAAGGAGCGCGCTAGAAAACCAGCCGAGAATCATACGATTTTCGGCTGGTTTGAACAGTGCTCGGGAGACAGTGCTCGGGAGACGGGTGTGCCCGTTCAGCATTGCGGTCATCGGAAGCCCGCCCCTCTGCGGGGCGGGCTTGCGATGATCGAGAGTACGATCTGCCTGTCCAAGATGTGCAGATCGTACGTTTTTTTAATCACTTTACAACCATCGCAAGACTAAGGTCTTGCGATGGTTGTAAAGTGTATGGCCACCTTTATATTGTAAAGCGCCGCGCCAACCGTTGGCGCTATATAAATCCTGTATAATAATAATAATTATAATAATGTTCCAGGATGGGAGCTTTGTTAGGTCAGCGTTGGGGACCACGCTATACAGAGGGGCCTTGACAGGACAGTGTGGCATCACATAGTTACATAGTTAGTCAGGTTGAAAAAAGACACAAGTCCATCGAGTTCAACCTATAGAGATATGGAAAAAAAAAAGAAGAAAAGCCTAAACAGAACGCTATGCCCACAGCCTGTTGATCCAGAGGAAGGCAAACCCCTCTATAAAGCATGGTTCAATTTGCTCCAACAGGGGAACAAATTCCTTCCTGATCCCATAAGGCAATCAGATATTCCCTGGATCAACAATCTCTGGTGCTTAATATACCTATAAGAACTCAATATCCAGTGATATTCTGTGCATTTAGGAATACATCCAGATGTTTTTTTAAACAATTAACTGAGCTAGCTAGAACTAGCTCCTGGGGGAGTCTATTCCACATTTTCACAGCTCTAACTGTGAATAATCCTTTCCATATACAAAGGTTAAACCTCTTTTCCTCCAGATGCAAAGTGTGCACCCTTGTCCTTTGCAGTGACCTTAAAGTGAATAATGTGGCACCAAGCTCACTATATGGACCATTTATGTATTTATACATGGTGATCATGTCCCCCTTAATCACGTCTTCTCCAGAGAGAACAAATTTGGTCAGCTAATCTTTCCTCATAGCTGAGCTCCTCCATTCTGCTGACTTCTATTATCCAATCAGATGCAAGCAAAAATCTGTTTTTATTTTCTTTGCTCATGATTGGGAATTTCTTTGCAAAGTCTACATTCACCAAGCTAAGGGAAAATTCCCTTGCACAGTGAACAGCCTTTTATAGTAAATCATCCCCGGTGTTTTTACATAGTACAGGCTGTTTCTTTAGTTTGAGGTATACGGTGTCACCAGTGGCATTCTTTTATTCTGACTGTGGTCAACACTGTGGGACAGGATGTTCACTATCATAAGCATACCTGTCTGAGTTTGCCACATATGTGACTGGTTCTGTTATGGGGGACCTTTGCACTCATGTCTCCTCTTGCTCCTCGGCTCCATCTAGTGGCAGGAATGCCATAGGAATGGCATTTACCAAACATATGGGTGAGCAGAAGATTTATAAATAGACCCCTGTATGGTTTCCTAAACCCTAATACTCTGCAAGTATCAGACAAACCTACATGCAAATATCCAAGAGAAATAAACCTAATATCTTCTGATTCAGTCACCCCATTCCTTCAAAATAAAGCAGACTTTAACACTTTATTCTTTCTCTACTCAAGTTGCATTAAATCAGGTCATTGACATTGAAGCCTCAGCGCACAAAAAGAATGTACCAGCACTTCCTTTGGACAATGCAGTGCACAGTGCATTCACATCTGGGCAGTGCCGGGGCACTGAGTTTAGACTGTACATTTTGTACATTTGTATTGGGGTGGCAGCAACAATGTATACGGCAAAACAGCGCATATTTATACCATGTGCTATCATGTATGCACATCAGTGACAGTAAACATTATATAACTGTTTTTGTTGTAATATATTTTGACCAGCAGGGGGCAGCAAATTAGGACATTCTGGTTGCGCCAGTGAAGGGGAGACATGTTGCTACATGTTTCTTTTCTCATACACTGACTAGTAACCAACTTTTAGGCAAAGAGAGCATAATTTACAGTAATTTCTTAGCAAATAAAGCCTAAAATGCAAGCCATAGATGTAACACTTTTTATAACCAATCTTGAACTCCAGGTACATATAAAAGGCACAAATGAATACATCTCTTTTATCAATAATACTTAATGAACTTTATTTTCTAAATGCAAGCAGTGTAAGTACCTGAATATGACAAGGTATCAGCTCCTTGCAGTCTACTGTACAGTATGTATAGGAGATGTCAGAGAGGGGGAGACACCAGTCAAGTGTGCTGCAGTGCCAGGAGCTTGCTGGTAGGAGGAGATTGCAGACTGACAGAGGGATAAGCTGATTGGTGTGCTGCTTCTCCTCTCTCTGTCCAGGGGAGCCTGTAAGTAAAAGTAAAACTGCAGCAGGGGACGATTAGCGCCCCTGCTAGACAGGGCTGTGCTGTGTAGCAGAGCTGTGTAAATCTCAGGACTGAGTAGACAGAAAAACAAATCCCTTGGCAGGTAAAACCACTCCCATATATGTATTTCATGTGCTTTATTTCTTTGCTTACATATGTGCATAAGTTAAAATATCCTTAACTGTAGCTGATTTTCCAAAGGTAAAAAGGCAAATATTTAGAAAGAAATTTATCAAAACTGGAGCAGACAGGATCTGGAGCAGTTGCCCATGGCAACCAATCAGCTTCTCTCTTTCATTTTCAAAGCTTAACTGAACAAACTGAAGAGAGAAGCTGATTGGTTACTATGGGCAACTGCTCCAGATTCTGTCTGCTCCAGTGGTAATGAATTCCCCCCTCAGTGTTCTACAACTGGCATTCTCTGTATAGCGTTACACATTTGAAATTACTGTAAAAATACCCATTGTACAAAATATTTCAAAATTTCTACCTGCATCTTGTACAGTACATGAACAATTTGTAAACAGTGATCTCTTTCAGGTGCTGTTTTAGATGAGGACACTGGCAAAGTACTTGTTGTACAGGACAAAAATAAGGTAAGCAAATTAAAAAAACAAACTGTACTAATACTAAGGACATGGAAAGCATAGTCGGAGTCACAGCAATCATTCATTATACGTTAAAGTGACATTAAAGTCAAAGTTTTTTTTCCCCCTTCCCAATCCTGCTGTAGGGACTTCCCTTAAATGATGTCTCTTAATCCGATCTTCTTCTTGACTGTCCTTTTCAGCTGTCCCTCCAGCGCTGACTTCTCTGGCCTCCTCTTCTCTGATTTCCCACGGAGTCTGTGTGGGTGCACGCTGCTCCATATACTTACCTTGTGTCTCTCCTCGTCTTCGGGCCGAACATCTGAACTGCGCATGCGACCGCCAGAGACTCTTCAGATGTTCGGACGGGAGCGAGTGGCAATGACACAGGTATGTTTAAACCCTTTTTAAAGGGTTTAAAAAAAAATGTTTTTGCATATATCTACTGCTTGCTAACAGTAGATATATGCAAAAACATGTGAGGGTTTAATAACCCTTCAAGCCAAAAATAAGCAGTAATAGAACCAACAATATGCCACATAACGTTTATTTGTTTTGTTAGGAATATTGGCTCATAGAAGTTTACATTTTTCAAGCAGACCTTTCAGTACAATTTACAGTCCAGCCCATCTTCTTCCCTTCATCCCATAAAAAATGATTTGCTGTTAGGTGTGAAATGTACCTGTAAACAAAAAAATGGATACTTACCTTTACCCCGTTTTCTGCGTCGCTGGGTGCGTCATCATTGTCTTTCCAGGAAGAATGCAGAGCTGGCCATATCTTGTCTTATAGTGTAAGGTCTGCTTTAAATGTATGTGTTATCTTTCTTCAGGGATACATTTACATGAATTGCAGACTCATATTCCGTACAAACCGTTGACTACGGAAAATGCCGAATGTTTTCATTAATTATTCACTTTCATATTGCAGAACAAAGTCCTAAAAATATCTCTTGGGTAGTATACCGGCCTCATTTTTAAGGAACTGGCTTTGTTGCCCAGTACCTCCACTAGGTACAATAGTCCACAAGAGTATAATAGTCTACTAGAATATTATATTTGGAAATCAGCTTGCTTTTTTTTATATTTTAAGTACAGTTCTTTATTACATAATATTCCTGTCCATACATTTCATTAGTTTTGCTCTGTCTTTCTGGCTCTGCCCAGTTACTCAAATTCTGCTAGCTGCTATGGACATTTTGTGCGTTAGTAAACTTCTCGATATGCAGAAGAAAAGGGCTGTTGATATTGTGATTCGTAGTTGCCAGTTGTGCAGAATGCATTTCAGAGCAACTTTAGGAGAGATTGGCACTGGACGCATACCATGCAAGGCATCAAAGCCTGGATTCATTTTTTATAATACATATACAGGTATGTTATATATATTTAAAAGTACCCATAGACATTAGACATCAGCCTACCCAGCTTAGGTGTTTTTGGCCAGATCGTGCTATGATCTCATGGCAACCAGCCAATATGAGGCTTCTCAGAAGGAGAAGTAATTGGATAGTTTGGTTTCAGAGGTGTCTGCAGCAATCCCGTCTGCATAAGCAAAGCGTAAAGTGACACTAAACTCAGGAGTTAAAACCTAAAAATACATTCAAGTACCTTATTAACAAAAATGTATCTTATTTGTGTATCACTCAGCTTTAGATCCTCAAATCATCTCTGATTTCGTGCTGACACTGTCCTTCCTTCTGGAGGGTGGCTACTTTTGTTCCCCATGGTCCCTGTGTCTGTTGTAAAGTAGCCACCGGTCCAAACTACAATCTCATGTTTAGTTTACTAATTTGTATTAAGATTGTAGTCCATCACGGGAGTGAGCTTGGAGAGGTGGCTACTTTTCAACACACACAGGGACCATGGGGAACAAAAGTAGCCACCCTCCAGAAGGAAGGACAGTGTCAGCACGAAATCAGAGATGATTTGAGGATCTAAAGCTGAGTGATACACAAATAAGATACATTTATGTTAATAGTTCAGGTACTTGAATGCATTTTTAAGATTTAACTCCTAAAGTTTCGTGGCCCTTTAAACAAAACATGAAGAGCTGTTATGCAAAAAGCATTTTCATCTTGAAGATCAACACTTTAGTCTGTCCTCTACTGATTACTTCACCTCCTTATTGGAATAGCAGTGTTATAAATGGATTCAAAGACCAGTAGGGAGGCACTTAATGTGGAAGGAGGGGGTCCAGAGCCGGTAACCAGGATACTGTGTCCCTATCAGAGGTCTTTTGTTTTACAGAATAAGGGACACTAGGTCGATCGTGATCTACCAGTTGATCGCAAAGCGAACACTGGTAGATCGTGATTGGCTCACTGGCCTGTGTCCTGTCCTCCCGCGGTGCTTGTGCGGCTGAATGTGTCAGACGCCGCAGACAGGAAAGGGCGGGACATCTCTCCCCGTGTGTGCAACGTCGGCCACACGAGCACCGTGGGAGGACAGGAGGCCGGCACACGAGACGAGACCTGGGAAGCTGCTGCAGTGGAGGTAAGAAAAGACAGGCAGGAGAGCGACAGCAGAGAAAGTGAGAGAAAAGAGACAGCAGAGAAAATGAGAGACGAGACAGCAGGGAGAGAGAAGAAAGACAGCAGAGAAAGAGAGACAGCAGAGAAAGTGAAAGAAGAGACAGCAGAGTGAGAGAAGAGACAGTATTAGTGCCTGCGTTCCAGTCCAGTGTGATCTGCAAAAATAGTGCTTGCAGCATTTTTGCAGATCGCACTGGACCGGAACGCAGACACTAATGTGTTCAGGGTGCGGGCGATCGCACTGCAGGCAGAGAGCGTGGCTGCGGTGCCATTGACTTCAATGCACCACCACGTCCCCTCCCGCCTCTGAATGCAGGTGTTTTTTAGTTGGTAGATCTCTTTGAGCTTGTCATTTGAAAAGTAGATCTCCTGATGAAAAATTGTGGGGCGCCCCTGCTCTACAGGATATCTGTCAGGATGTGCAGGTACTTTTGCTCAAAGGTTTAAAGGAGAACTATGGGGTTAAGGCTTTTCCCCATAGTTCTCCTTAGGGTAACGGGAGGACACAAACTAGCGTCCTCCCGTCACCCTAGGCTCAGTATACCGCGAGCTGTATCGGATCAGGAAGAATGGTACACTATATATATATTTATATAAACATCAAAGGGCAGCTGTAAGTTGTGTTTGAATTATGCAATCACATTAGGTGCTCAAAGTTGTCACCATTAGTTTTGATTTCGGCGCACTACTGCATGAACAACATTGACTAGAGTGTCCACCGGGATTGCTCTGCATGATATTTCAATTTCTTCCTGTAGTGCAGCCAGCGTATGTGGTTTTCTAAGGTATACCACATTCTTTAGTGTTCCCCACAGATAGAAATCGAGGGGTGTTAAGTCTGGGGAACGTGGAGGGAATTCAACAACACCTCCAACGTCCTGGCAGAATATCATCGAGATAGGCTCTTACGTCTCGGTGGTACACTATCTTGCTGGAAGTAAAATTGCTCATCCGCATAAAGCGCACGAATGGCCAGTTTGTCGAAACCACTCACAGTACTCCATTCCCCGGTCAGGGTCATCTTCAATCATGGCGTAAATCTTGGGATGTAAAATGTTCAATGTGCTCTCCTCAGAATACGTTGTATGCTTGATCTGCTAATTCTTCTCTCATGTGCACATTGTTTGACAGACTTTTGCGGTGACCGTGTAAACTGTTGCAACACTGTATCCGAGGAAGCAGGACACCTCCCAGATCTTTGCTTGTGCACATCACAAACAGCGTCATCGGTTTAGAACGTATCACAAATCCGTCGATTGTTAGTCGTGTAGGTAGTTCTGTTCCAAACTCACGTCGCTATTGTCGTGGGACTTCACACACATTTTCAAATTTGCTATACCACTTTAAAATGGTCTTGCATTGCTCAAAAGTCAAGCGCGCCTCCACCATTTTCTTTGACTCTCCTGACGGTCACATGATGATAACAACAATGGTGCATCTACTGATATCTTTAGAGGAAACATAATACTACACATTGCTGCCATAATTCAATACAGGTTTTAAAAAAGGGTATAGATAACAACGGTAGAAGTGTGTATACATTTGTTTTGCCCCTCTTTATGTGTCCGCAGACATTGTTCTGTTTTTACTACCATTAAGGCAGCTGGCACCTTAACATAAGCATTGCTGGCCATGCATGGAAATGTCTATGCCATGACATTAAATGCTACCTCTTCTCAATGAGTGTCCCATGCTTAGGCATGTTCTCAAGACTCGTGGCATTTCATTCAACATGTGTATAGTGAAGGCATATCTCCAGTATGATTTGGAAATAGGGACATCAGAATAAGCCCTTTCCCTACATACAGGCCCTTGGGAGTCAGGTCAGCAGCATTGCGTTGCTGAGAAAGCAATCAATGTCTACATGTGGAGTGGATCAGAGGGGGTGAGGGGATAGGTAAAGTCCTGTTGTCCAACAAGTATTCAGTGCAGCGAATGCACTGTGCATTGTAGGGCAAGCAGACTGGATTTCTGGCCGATCAACACGTATTTTTTTGTACTTGCAGTGTTTTTAAAGGGATAAAACATGGAGTACATTTCATGTATTGCAAAGATTTTGTATCTTTATTTTGACGTGACATCCACTTTAAAAGAAAACTTAAGCTAGCCATACACAAGAAGAATCAATTGATTTCCTCCATCCATGCTAACCAGCGTGCATGGGGGAACTACTACTGCTGCCTGTTGTATTTAGAGAGCCACGGGTGCCTGAATAGCCGATCAGTGATTGCATCCGATAGGATACAGTCACTTTTCAGCTGATTGCTTTCCACCCAGCTCAGTTGTATTTTAAATCACCTTCTGTGAAGCCTGGTGGTGCTGGCCGGGTCAGCCAATGCTGGAATTTTGCCCTATTTAGCAAGGAGCTGAAAAAACTTGATCTGTCTATTTCCAGCTTTACTGGTATTCAAATCACAAGCAAATTTACACAACAATATATTATGGATACTATGATCTGCATGACACTTTGCAGATTTCA